CTGCTCATACAAGGCAAGCCTGAGTCTGCTTAGATAAGCTGTCTGCCATGAGGGATTTTAATGCAAGTTGCCTCTCCAACATGTTGCACAAAGCTAAATATAAGCAGTACGCTGAAGTCACAATAAACAACAGCAACTTTTTACCAGAATCACAACCAGTCTGCACTCAAGGCGTTTAATGCCCTTACACTTCAGCTCGTTAAAGTATGTGAAAGTTTAAATTTTGTTTGCTTCAAATGTTTGTTTATTCATATTTATTCAACAAGTGGCAGTTTTATTACATTTGGTAAGTGTTCAGCTCTGTGGCCCTGTGGATGTGTCAACAAAAACACCATCCCTGCCTCACAGCTTTAAAGGTATTGCTTTTTATTTTTGTTGAAACTCCAAATTTTCTTGTTTCTTTATTCATTGTTTTGTCATTGCTTCTGCATTGCAAGGATATCTGCTTTTTATGAGCCTCTTAAAACCTTTAATCTAAATCTCAGACATAAAGTAAAATTCTGCAAGAGGAGTTTTTTTTTTTATTTTGGCCACTGGAAGCTTTAGTTCATGACTGCCCGATTGCCATAATCATTGCTAAAATTTCTTTTTAGATCAAACAAGAGTCACATTTTCTTTTGTCCTCGATCCCAAGCTGCCATTTAGCCTGCGGTCGAAAGGCCCAGCTGAACAAAAACAGGAGATTTCTGCAGCGACTGATTCATGACACATTCAGACCAAAATAACTCCCATTTGTCTGTTAACAAACCTGCCTGGCTTCCTTAAAGAACATAAAACAATGCCAACAGGAGATCAGAGTGGGAATGAAAACAGGATGACACCTGGCGACCTTGGAGCAACAACAACAAAAAAAACATTGTCTGAGGCAAAAATATATCGGTGGAAACAGGATTCAGCAGGTTGGAGATGAGGCAACATGTTGTGATTTAACAGTAATAATCACTATATTAGGCTGACATGTTTATAGTTGAAACACTTCCTATTTACCCCGTGTTTCATCTACAGCTTTATGTTGGCACACTAAAACAACGTGGCTCTTCCGTGCTAATTAACAACAGGAAGACATGATTTGGGTTTTAAATATTGCCTCATCCTGTTTGGATCCAGGTGGCTCATGATGAGTTAAATCATATTACATCATCTCCCAGAATCCTGCAGGCTTCAGTGCTCAGGATATCCACCCATCATGACAATTTTACAGTGACATTGTGACTATGTCTTGTCTTTGGCAGAAGCCCTGCAGGCCTCAAGCTGATAATTGTGTTCTTTAAAGTGAAGGAGCCCCACGTTCCCCTAAAAGGCCCCACTGCGGAGGAAACCAACGTTGCCCTTGCAATGATGAATGGACATCATTAATGTTGTTCGTCTGTTTACCTTCACGCTGCAGACTGGGAAAATGAGAGGTCAACAGCGAAAAGGAAATGTTTGTTACTTTTACCAATTTCAAAGAGCCACCCATCTCGTTTTCACGTTAAGAGAGGACGAACACTTGAAGGGTCTTTTTCCAGTCAAAACACCTGATCAGTCTTTATATTCCTGTTTAAATATGTTAATGTTTGAGAGCCCATTGTGATTTTTGTTTTTATTTTTGATCCCTGATGGATAATCCTATCTATCCTCATAAAACAGCAGGCTATGTTTTTCTTTTGAACACTGATTTCATAAAGATGCATCAAGTGATCAATGAGCTCTTTTTTAAAGCAGAATAAGTCTTCAGAAGGGTGAATTTTGTTAAAAGAAAGGCAGTTTTTCTCCTGGGTACAGAACAAGGAGACGTGGTTAACGCTGTCAGGCTTTGTGGTTTTAGCAAGAGCAATGAGGGCCTCAAGGTTGTCTGATGGTCTGACAGCAGAGAGCTCCATCTCCCCCCTGGGCAACCCACACTATCACTCAGGCCAGGTTTGCTTGTCTTATCAGCATGTATTTATAGTGCAAACAGTTTGAGTGATCTTATTAGAGCCTATCAGCCGGTGCACCTTTAAAAACACAGATTGATCACGGAGCAGATGGCGAGACAGCGGTGAGAACGTCTACATGTCCTGTGGACAAACTCTGTGTGGCTCCAGCAGAAAGGATGAGGAATAAAGACATTAAAGTAAACATTTCATGCTTTTAAATCCTTCTTTTCCACATTTAAATCATTCAGTTGAAAGGGCGGTATTATGCAAAATGAGCTTTTTTAAATCATGTTATAATGTCAATCCTTCATCAAAAGCATACGCAGAGTGTTGCTTTGACTCTTTCATGCATGTTTGAGAAATCCTTGACTCTCCTCTGGTAGCCATGTGGAGCTGCCTAAACACTTGCTGGTACAAAGCACCGCCCATCTGTACAAAGCTCCTCCTTGGAGCTCAGTCTGCAGCCAAGCTCCCACCCTACAGAACACTCCTCCACTGAAGCATTGTTGTAAATATGTGCTGAAGTGGGATTGTCAGAAATGGTAGGAGGTTCTTAAAGAGACAGAGGGCAATTTAAAGGTGTTTAGATAGACTATGATGGAAAGTCAAATACATATTTGATATATAGAGCATTTTTATAATGACTGAAGGTACTTGATTGCGGTATAGCATTGAATTACAGTATGTGCCTGAAAATTGCATCCCCCCACCCTAATCTTAAATGTCATGAATCTTACAGCTGCGCAACATTGTTGTGAAAGCAGAGGTTTTAGTTTTATGCAATAATGCAGTCAGGCGGATAATTAGAGGATGAAGGAATAAGATGAGTCATCTTAGCTCCAAATAGTCAGTTGTTGAAGTGGTTAATTATTGAAAAAAAGAGTTGATTGCAGTAACAGTAGAATGTTAAACAAAGATGTATTTTCTGTTAACACACTGAATATGTGTCGGGGATCAGTCTCAACTACCAAGCCAAATTTTAAGTCCATATCTGTACAACTGACTGAATTATAGCCATTTGTTCTGTGTGTTTGTAGATCCAGTTCTAGCTTTGTTTTTGCTTCCATTCTGCCCTCCGACTTTCAGCAAATCATCCATCAGTGCCGGGCATGCAGAGGTACAAAAGACAGCAGTGAAATTGGACGGCGAAATTAGAGGAAACATCTTTCATCATCTCAGACTGTTTTCTCTCACTGATGCTCTGACAAATCTGGTGACGGGGCGGCGGTGTTCAAGTGTCTGAGATGTTTAGAAATGCTGCACTCCTGAACTGTGCTCAGCTCAAAAAGCAAAAAAAAAAAAAAAAAAAAACAGCTAAAGAAAAAAGGTGTGTGTGTTGGGGGATGGGGTGGGGTGGAGGGATGGTTGTGCAGCTATTCAGCACTCCTGCTTGAAGGAATGTGAGGAAGCCCACAAGGAATCTGTTGGTTCTGCAAACACAGAATGAAGAGACGTGTCAACTCTAATGGAATCTCTCTTTCTGTTTCAGCAAAGCGGACTAAACGCTGAAACCGCAAAGTCTCCCCTCTCACTGGAGCCTGCAACCAGGAGACCATACTTGTCAGCATGTGAAAAAGAGCTCTAAATGTTTACTTTGCTCTAATAGCTCTCACAGAACACCAAAAGCGCTCAGTCTGTGTGTACACAGCAGTCTGAAGATGGGGAACAAAGCATCAGCAGCATCAAATAAATTATCATCAGGCACTGCTGCTGAAGTGGACTGAATCTCATCAGTGAGATCTGGGAGGACAGAGAGGAAGACAGGGAAGGGGAGGAGATTTAAATGGCCAGCTAGAGAAAAGGTGGTGTAGGGCAATTAGTCTCTGACTGTAGCTCAGAGCAGGACTGAAAACTGAAAGTCTGGAGGAAACTTTACGCATTTTTTCTCATTTAATCCTTTTAAACTGATTTTTTTTCTGCACAATGATTATGCTTTACTTAATCTTACATTTGGATTAATATTATTTGAAACATATTACTTAAGTTCTAACTTTCATTCAGATTTTTTTTTTCCTTTTGGACACTTATCATTATATATCCACTGCGTCTCCGGGGCCTCTATCATTAGCAGAGGCGCAACCTTCATCAGGTTCCAGGCGGCAGCGCGGAGCTACGTGACTCCTCTCACAGTCAGACTGAGCAGGGAGCAGATGACTCGGGAATTCCCTGTCAGCTTCTTTTTGTCCCCGTTCTGAGTGACCCGGGCTGCCATACTTTTGGGATTTTTCTTGGATATTTTAAGTTTTAACGTGTGCGTCGGGAGCTGTTTCCCTCTCTCTCTGTGTGCGCAAATGAAACCGGGTTATGTCATCCAGACTGTGGCGGCGTTTTATCTGCTCCTCTCACCTGTGCAGGTATGCTGTTTCACACTCAAAAAGTTAAAGTCAAACATAAAGCAAAGTCGTTTTTCTGGTGTTATGAACGCAAAATCAGCCATGCGTAAAAGTTTGGTTTTGGAGAGGGTGGTACGTCTTTGCGCACAGAACAAAATGCCAAATATTTTATAACATTTTCAAACAAAGTGTTTGTTGTTGGTTAATAGTCTGCCTTCAGTTCATTACTTTCTGGCTGAGTCACCAGCAGCCAGTGATAACAGACAGTTATTGTGTTTGGACACCTTCATTCTGCTCTGAATGAGCCGTGGTCCGGCTCAGTTCATTCATAAACTGAAACGTGACAAAATGCATCAGCACGCTCGTGCATCACATGATTCAAAGTGACTCACTGTTATATTTGGAGAAGCTCACTGAGCTCATAATTACAGCCGCAAACTTGAAAGGCATGTTTCACAGAGTGAGCTTGTTCTCACTGGTGTATAGAGACATTTCTTTTGTCCAGTTTAAAATCTTGTGCAGGAAACATTGATTTCTACATTCATTAGAAATTAAAGGTCTAGCAGATGAATGCACGTCGCCTGCAGCCTTTTATGCACAGTTTTAGACTATCAATCCTTAAAAGTAATGCAAAAATCAAATGTAGTGAGATGCAATGCTCAGAGCGAGTGTTGATGACTCTCAGCGCGCCAAGTTGTGGCCCAATATCTGTAAAACTGACTGAGTTATGGCCATCTTTATGTTTCCTAAAACTTAGCACAAAAAGTAAGGAAATTTGTGTTTGGTAATTATGTACCGGTTGTAACAATGCTTCTTGATAATAATCCTGTTAAATTCCCTTTTAAATGGTGCTTCTAAGGAACATGCATTGATGGGATGAGCAGTGGAGTGTGTGGGTTGTGCACACAAACAACTTGCCAGTTTATTTTTTTGTTGTTTTTATTGACACTTGTTTTGAGCTTCTGGTATCCACAGGTGCTGCCAATCAGGTGCCCGCTATAAGAAGCATTGTTACAACAAAGTGATAATCTACCAATACACACATTTCTTCTTTTTTGTACTAGGTAATCAGTTAGCTCTGGCTTCCATTTTGAATGAGGTTGACTCTAAACATAATCAGTTGTATGTCCAATCTAAGATTCTTTTGAGAAAGTTTAATTTAAAATGTGTCTATTGGTTCATGATGTATTTCGCTAACAGAAATGCACAGGCACAAACGTTATCATCTGCCTTTCTTTTCTGCGCTTGGCGATAAATATTTCAGCGTTAGAGTCACTGCTTGTTAAACTTTGTTGTAAAGACAAAGAACAAATCCTGCTGAGCTGCTTCAGAGTAAAGAGTCTGAGCTCAACATGAGTTTTTAACCCTTTTTAAATTTTGGTTCTAGTTTGCGCACAGTTTAGTAGAAACACGCAGTGTTAAAACTAAAATCTGTAAAGATTACAGCAGAGGTCTGTGTCAGGCTGCAGTGGATCAGTACAAAGCTGCTCTGTTCTCTTTTGCCTTTAATGAAACTCTGTCAGAAACTTGAAACTGGATTCCCTGAGAGGCTGGAGTCAGAGACACCTGTGTTATTGGACGGTGGGGCTTGTGGCACCTAATGCTCTGATTTCGAGGTTTCCAATGCTTCTCATGTTAAATGCAAATCCAGGCACTGTCACACTTCACAGACTGCTGCTGCGTGTTGAATCAAGTAACACCCCTTTGACACACACACATACTGCAGTTGCAGGGTTTGAAAAAGCTTCGTCTCCCAGCAGTTTCTCAAACTGGACACTTTGCAGCTGTTGCTGAGCTGAGAGTGAGTGGGAGCGGCAGGGGATCGCCACATTTTCTCTAATCCTCATAATCAGCTCAAGGCCTGCTTAGTCAAAACATGAGTGACAAAACCCAGGGGCCCCAATATGAAACAGGTTAAATGCCCCCTGCTGCACCCAGAAGACTGATGGTGAACGTAAACAATGCAAGCTTTTCAGATTCAACATCCAATCTGTCAGATGACACAAAGTCTGCAAGGATCTTAAATCTGGATCCTTAAATCCCAAAAGCAGCTTTGAACACTAAGTTAAAAAAAAAAAAGGTCAGTCTAGAAGGCCTTTCTGTTCTGCTGCTGGTGTAGGAAAGCATCAAGCAACAAAAAAAAAGGTAAACCCGTTTTTTATATGTTCCCCATGAATTTACTATTTTAAAAGTCTTCCATTATCAGACATAGTTGTTTTTTTTTCTGCTGGCTGTCACAGCTGGAGTCTGCATCAGTAGACTTGTGACTAAAGCAGTCATTTCTGTCTGCTATGAACCAAGACAGGGTGGGACTGACTTCCAACTGTTTCAGGATGTTTCTTTACTACAGCTTGATTCATAGAGCGGGGTGTGTTTGTGTGCGTTTTCTCCTTGCATTCTGGATAAACTGGCAGCCTAATTTATAATGTTCTTCAGGCTTTTAGGGACTGAAATGTTAAGTTAGGGTCAGCTCAGGGTAGGGCTAGTTCCCATTAAAACATAAATTGTTATTTGTTGTATTTTTGTTTTTCAGCTATTTAGGCACTTTTTCAAACTAACTGGGTCATTTGTTGGATGCGAGTTATTACACATAGGCAAAAAAAAATCAGTTTTTCCTGTGTGTAAAGTTTTTAAAGAAAAATCAGTAAATTGTGGAGATCAGAACAAAAATGAACAATCTGTGGAAAAGCCTGCATTGAAATGTGTACAAAATCATAGAAGGAACTGTTCTCACTACATAGAGCCAGCTTTGTAAAGAAATATAGTTCTTATAATGTGGTTAAAACGCTAAACAATAAGCAGTGCTGATTCAGTTACTAGAATCTGTTCTCACTAATGTGTGTTTTGATTCATTTCCTTTGGTCAATTTATCCCCAATTGTCTGTTGTTGTTGTTGTTCACAATGGAAGCACCTGGGCTTCCTGTGTGAACAATAAACCTCTTGGTCACCCCAATATTACTGACGAATAAGAAACCAATAGGCTACTGTTTGTTTTAGCTTCTTCTGTTAGTAATACTTCCTTTAGATATGGAGCTTATGACATATGAACACGTGTTCTAAACCACAGCAGCACAAAAATCAGATCTGACAACGAGCTTTGCCAAAAATCAACCTGTGGCTTCCTGCCCGCTTTGACAACTTTCCCTGAGTCATGCAAAGTAAGTAAGTAAGTAAGTAAAACTTTATTTATATAGCACATTTAAAGATAGGGATCACAAAGTGCTTCATCAAACACAAACAAAAATAAAATAAAATAAACAGAGCAAATTTAAACAAATGCAGATTTAAAAATGTTTTTAACTGAGCTTTAAAGGAGTCCACAGAGTCTGCTGGTCTTAAATTCAGAGGAAGAGAGTTCCAAAGCCTTGGAGCCACAGACAAGAAAGCGAAGTTCACTGCAATTCTGAGGACTTCTCCTAAATGTCATTGTGAGGTGTGGGAAGTTCTCATCAGTGCTGCCAAAACCAGACTGACAAAAGCCAGTAAGCAACGCTGAAACATAACAAACTCCAAATTCAGTCTTACCAGAGTGTCATTGATAGAAATGACTCTGTTTTGTAATAAAACTCTCGGTGTTTTTTGTTGAATTGAGTATCTTTCAAAGTAGCCTGTTTATCCAGAATGACGTGACGTTACGCAGGTGTTTCATCAGAGGCGGAAACAATACTTGATCCTGACCATCTGCACTGTACATATGCACCTGTGTTTGTATTTAGTTTCACCCCCCCCCCCCACCCCCACCCCACATATGTTCATGTTTAGTCCGTCAATTATAACCCAATCTGAATTGAATGACATCACAGCTCAAGGTGTTTTCATGAAGTTTTATAAGCAGCTTTGAAAGTTAAGCTTTCGAGCTTCAAATATGAACTCCCTCTGTGTCTCTGCTGCTCACACACACTTGCACATCGTTCCAAATCAGATGCCGTGATAGTAACCTGCTGACTGATAGGACTTCCATTTGTGATGTTTGTGGTATTTCTCTCTGGTTGTAATGTTCTGGCCCAGGGGAGAGTTGCAATTGCAATCAGGAAATATGGATTTCTCCTTCCTTCTGCAGAGGAGGAGGAGGAGGAGGAAAAGGAGTGGTGGTGCTCAGGGCAGCCGTCTACTCAGCAAGCTTTAATCTCTCATCTGGATGTAATTTACTGTGGTTTACAGAACAACGTTTACTGTAATAGAGACCACAATTACCACCGGTCAGCCTTATCTCGAGGCCCGCACTGTGTGTRTGTGTGTTTGTGCATGCGGCACCGCGTTTACACAGTGGTTGTGTGTGTTTGTGTCTATATCTTTGGGGAGACATTTGTGCATTCATTAATGGACTTACACTGAGGAAGTTGTGTTTATCCAAACCAAAATTAATAAGGACCTTTACTTCTCCCTTCTCTCTTGACCCTGATTTAGCTTTTGTTTGGTTTTTGCTTCTTCTTCTTCTTCTTCTTCTTCTTCTTCTTCTTCTTCTTCTTCTTCTTCTTCTTCTTCTTTTTTAAAGTAGAAAATGAGATAAACGTTTTGTGACTAAATTCCTGTTTGGATAACAGAGTTTGCATTTACTTTCTAAATCGAAGAAATGAACTCTAAAGAATTGTATTTTTTAAACCTGTGACTTGGAAAAAGAAGTACCACATATTGATGTGGTTTTGTGTGTACTTTTTTAAAATCTGGAACCTGCCCATCAGCGAATATTTTAGGGTGTGAGCAAAATTAAATTATAATCCTCCAAATCTTGGTTTTACACTCAATAAATACCAATATTTTTGTGGTTTGCTTGTCTATGTGTGTTTTTATGTGCTGGAACTAATTTAATGACTGTTTCATAATGTGTGAAACAACTGTGGATTAAAAAGGTCCCATTCTCCCAGAACATCGGAGGAATGGTTGTGTCACCTTCGTCGTGTGTTCTGCAGAAGTTTGTTAGTGTTTGCTAAGTGCTCTGTGATCACAAGTCCTGACCTGACCACCCTGGAGACCCAGCTGGATCCTGTCAGGACCTGGAACGGCACTGCAGTCCTTTGAGGTTCACCTGCTTTGTGTATACCAAACAGGAGCTGGTTTTCTTTAGCAAAAGTGGCGATTTGATCATGTGACACTCAAGCTCCACGAGAGGCAGACCCAAGAAAGAGTTTAGGGGGAAAAAAAACATCTCTCTGCCTTTATGCATCTTCAAAATAACCAGTTGTGTTTATGTCCATGCTGTCGCCTTCACAAGCAGGGCAAAGTTTGCAGGGAGAGTAGCAAAGGTTGGGTCATTATTAAGAGTCATGAGAACTGAGGAGGGGGATTTCCCCAAAACGTTGCCAGTCTGAGTCTGCTTTCACTCAATGTACAGCTTCTATTTGAAACTCTGGTGAAACTTTTATAAATGAGCTCAGTTTGGGGGCTGCAGTGGCTCAGTGGTTGTTGCTGCACTTCGTAGTCCCGAGGCTGCTGGTTCAAGCCCAAGAAGCTTCAAGAAGGGCATCCAGAACAAAACAATTTCCACATGTTTTATAAARAGTTTGCTTGCAGTTGTGACCAATGCAGAAAGGACCAAAAGAAAACCATGATGTGAGCTCAGATGTGATTATAATGAAGGCCATTGTAGTTTGTTAGATTGTAGTTCGATTAAGTAGCTTGGTGAGGATTGAAACACACATTCTTGCAGGTGTTATACGTGTTTGTTTAATGGGRTTTTATTGACTTAAAATTAAATGTTTCTTAACTTTTAATAAAAATTCAAAACATAAACTCTAAGTACTATTTATACCCTTCTCAGAATCAGTGCTGATACGGCACTAAACACTTGAGAAATTCTTACAAAATGTTCTGTTGAAACCAGTTTCCTAAATAAGCCTAATTATAAGATGTTATTGGTTTGATGCGGTGACAAACCACCAGAGAACAATGTGAAAGAACACCTTCTACCATTAATGAGGTGACCTTTTGAACCCTTTCAGAAAATATCAACAATTGTTGATCTGTTTTTTAAGAGTTGAACCCTGGACTGAAATAAAAGCATTTGATGAGCTTTTTTTTCTTTTTTAGATAACTTTTGTTTTAAATAGTTGTCAAGCAAAACACGCCTCACCCTTATTGTCAGTTTTGTAATCCAGTGGAAAGAACAAACCTATTTATCCCAAAATGGCTCTGTAGCTGACTCTGTGTACTGTTTTTTTGTTTTGTTTTGTTTTTTTATTTGTGTACAGTGTGGCTGATATCTTTTGGCAAACTACCATAGTACCTGTTAAACTGACCATCTCCCTCCACTTGACTCTCTTGAGTTGAAAAATCTTTGACCTGTTAAGCTGGATCATGTTAGAGTTTCGCTCCCTACGCACGCTGCCCTTCCCCTGACAGATAGAAGAAGCAGGGAGGTTAAACGTGACGCAGTTCAGCTGTGTGGGACTGCAGAGTTCTGCAGTTCTTCGGCTCACAGGGGCCCAACAACGGGTGCTCAGGGGAYTCAGCCAGCCCTCTGATCTGACCCAGGGGAGGCTAACTTTGTTGAAAAGCTTCACAATCGAGCAAATATGTCAAATAATTTCTACTAAAACTGCTGTCCTCTCTGCAAACTGATCTGACAAGAGAAAAGAGGGATTTTATGTAGCAAAATACCTCCTGTTTTGTAAAATGCAACCCTAACCCTTTTGTTTTTTTTGGGTTTTATCTGTTGAATGTCTTTTGATTTTGTAAAATTTCAGTAAACAGTTCTGAGAAAACGTTGTCTGATCTATGCAGATTATGAAACCTTTATATTTGGTAGAAAACATCCCCGGGGAAAAGAAGGCAGGGTTTTCCTTCTGAAGCCGTTGCCTTCACAGTCCGACCATGGCTAGGCAGCATAAATTGAACGAATGGATAAAAAACATGCTGTCGTCATGCCGCGCAGCAAAATCAGCCTACAGCCACAAAAGATATATTTAATGTTGTAYCTTGCAGCTTTTTGTCATTTCTTAAAAACAAATTGCATTTTATTTTATTTTATTTTTCGGTCAAGTCCAGTTTGTTAGTAGCTCTTCATCAACACAAAAACAAGTAATTACAGTGACATGGATCGAGGCCTTACCCAGGTCTGGCAAAACTCCCTGAATAAGAAGTTCATTAGGGAATGAAGCGAAAGGAAGACAGTGTCAAGAAACTGATCCTGCTTCTGGGGTTTGTTTGTCAAGATCATCCATAATTTACTGATTCAAAACACTCCCCTCACTTTTCCACAAGAGCCAAACCACCTCCAGTCACCATCAATCACACATAATACAGGAGGAGGGAYGAGAGCTACGTGAGTATCGTCAGGCAGCGATTTATGTTAAAGCAGCTTCTTCTGGGTAAATAATTCGCTCCTTTCAACTTTAAAAGATACCAAAGATATTTGCTCGTGATGCCAAGGTTAAACCCATGACCATTCTGAACAGCAAGTGAGTCGGGAGCCAAGAAGGCCTTGTGATGTGAATGTGCCTCACAAACAGGAGAAACTGAGAAGCTCTTAGGTGGGGAAGTAAGCTGTTGAAGTTGTGAAGAAGTTTATTTGAATCAGACGTAGCTACAGGGGAATAAAACGATACGGTTCCAGGGAGAAAGTGGCATTTAACAATGACTGGACTAAGGCTTTCCCATGCTGCRCATAAAAAAAACAGATATTGTGCAAGCGGAGCTCACATCCTGCTGGGTTTTTGTGCGGCAGACACAGTTCAGTGATTGGCACTGTGCAGAACAAGGCTGCAGTCAGAGGAACAGCTGTACATGTTGGCCAGATGACGGGCCACTTAAAAAAAAGAGAGAGAAAAGGAAAGAAGGAGATGCTTCATCAATTCTCTTAAGACAGGAAAAAACTGAGTCGGTGCCTGACTGTAAGCTGTTTCACATTCATCAAATCTGGAAAGTCATAAAGTTTGTGGTGCCTCAGACAAAGCAGTTCCATCTCTGATGTAATTATCTCTGGTTTGCAAATGTAGCCGGACTTCCTCATTAATGAGATTTCATGACAGATGTTATCCTCACAATAAAGTCATGTTAGTTTTTTTTAAGTTGACACATGGTGTAAAATACAAGCCTTTACCTTCATCATTTGCAAACAGCTGCCTTATTATTACATAACACATTTCTCTAAGTAGCAGTGACAGACATGCAGAGTAAATCTGATCCAGTTTGTGCTACAGGAATTCCAGTGACGAGGACGGATTGCGGAAGCAGGTTGTCTGCCGCCTGTCCCTGTCCGCGTTGGCCCGAGGCTATTTTATCAAACCTAGATTTCCCTTCCTGAGATGGAGTCAACCAGAGGTTTTGTGTTTTCCCAGGCGAATGAGAAATTTGCTCTGTTTATCATGGGACGATGGGAAAAAAGTGGAGACAGAGGGGGAAACCATCAATGGGAAAATAAATACGGAGCCTGGATCTTACACCACAGGAAACAAGTTCGGAACCTAAACAGTTGGGCACACAGAGAAGAACATGAGATAGATGCATGTAAAAAGACTGGATGTGCTCAAAACGACTTGTTCTCAGCAGGGAGGGGGTGCAGTTCCAGCTGTCACCACTAGAGGACAAACAAACTGAAACGTGCAAGTGTGCAAATCTAATTTCAGGCAGATGATGCAGTTTTTGTCCTTGTGTGTATTTGTGTGTTTGCTTGTTAGTGAAATATCTCATGAACCACTGGGTGAATTTTAACAAGGCTCTCAGAAAGTAATCATCAGATGTCCAACATTATTTAGTTAATCCTATTCAAAAATGACTTCCACAGCAAAMTGACCTTAAAAATAGCCATAATTCAGTCAGTTTTGCMGATATTTAGCTAACATTTGGTTTGTTTGTAACTGAGAGTCAGTCACACCACTTACAAACTTGTACCGGTATGTCTGTTAGCAAAATGAACTACTGGATGAGTTTTGTTAAAAYTTTCAGAAAGTAATTATTGAATGCACATTTAACAGCTAAGAGCTAACAGCTAATCGACTCAAGAATGACTCCGCGAACCTCAGATACTGAGCTAAAATGTGACGTGGTAGTAGCTGAGAGTCATTCACAACAAAAACTCTGAGCGTGACCTCTCAAAATATTACATAAGCTTGAACAAAACACTTTTTWAAGGTTTGGCCCAAACAGCTTCAACTTATCATTTCTGAGCCTAAAACCTTGGCTTGAAAGATGGCGGTTGATTTACATTCCTTCAGCGAATACTAGGCCTTTAATTATAATAAATAGTAACTCTGCCATAATCTTTGTTCTTGTTTTTGCAGAATTTACCCACATCAAACACAAATGAAACAAGGCAAGGTAAGAATTTCTGTTTTGTTTTTTCCCGAARTCTCCTGTGAAATGTTTAGCTTTTTAAAAAGTATTTTACATTTCAAAATCTCAGTTKTAAAAACAGCTGCACCCTCCGTGTTTGTTCGTACGACAGAACACGTTTCATCATAAGTGTAATTATTGTTATTTTCTTGCCATGCACTTTTGGAAACTCTTAATGACTAAGTATTGAACTCTTGAATGTCAGTTAGCAAGTTTGACTAGAGGACAACAGGGCATGCACGAGCAGGAAGGGGTTACGCAACTGCTGACCTTCTTCCCTCGTATCCTTTCCGCCCTTGCATCACTATAAATTAACGCTGCCAAAGAAATAAACTGAATGCTGAACATTTGTGGAACTCCCAGCCAGAGCGAGGAAGACAGAAAGTTCCGGATGAGTAGAAGACACACAATCAAGTGAAGGAGTGGTAGCTGGCCGTTGAACTATCCCTTCGCGTTGTACTACATTACAGTTCACGGCCTCCTCTCCCAAACCATCGCTGCTTTCCCTGCCGTCTCCTCCCAGCCCGTCTGCTTTATAAACAGCTGWTGTGGTGTCAGGCTACAGTTGACGACCTCCGGGGGTCACCGCTGTCCCAGAGGTGCCCGCGGGGCAGCTCCAGCTCCATCTCCAGCTCCTGCAGGGTTCTGTTCATGGCCATGTTGCCAGAGTTTGTTTTCTCTTCCCTCTGTGTTTGGCTATAGTCGTCCCTGTTCTTCCCCGGCAGCAACTTCACACATGTACTCCCACAGGAAAGTCTACACAAATTACACAAATGTTTCTTTTTTTTCTGCAAAACGCAAACAGGATGCACAGTGGCAAAACAAACTGGTTTTAAGTTTCAGTGTACATCAATTAGGCGTGTCATTATTACATTGTTGAAGTAATTACTGCRTTTTATTGTAAACACATAAATACACATCAAAAGTATGATTTATTTAACGCACAGGAAGTTTGTTTTTATGAAGCTTCATTAAGATCTATTGTAGAAGCTGGTACGTTTGCCGCTCCAAACCCATCTTGTTCTTCTATTTTCTCATTCATAGTGTTGATGTTTCAAGAGGTGTGGGGTCGCAGCTTCTGCAGGACCATGGAGAAGCTGGTGGAGGTTGTGCAGGAGTACCCGACAGAGGTGGAGCACATCTACAGCCCCTCCTGCGTGCCTCTGGTCAGGTGTGCTGGCTGCTGTGGGGACGAGAAATTAGAGTGTCATCCCACTCAAACTACAAATGTCACCATGCAGGTAAGAAAAGGGTGAATCAAGGGTCAATCTTGTTGTTGTTCACACCGTCATCATCTCTTCTGATCATTTTAATCGATGTCATTCGTCAGCTGTTGAAAATCAGACCATCGGAGCCGGGTCAGGAATATGTTGAGATGACGTTTGTGGAGCATCAGACATGTGAATGTAGGTAAGAAAACAAGAAAACTCCTCATTTATGAGTTAAATATGCTCTTCCCTGTCTCTTTTATATTCATGTAATTATATGAATGACAGGTTAAAATATAAATTTAGGTTAAATGTAATGCATCTTCAAAGTCACAAACCTGTGCAAACATTTACCAAAAGCACATTTCTTTCTGGACCTGCTCAGAATAAAACACGAGAAAATGAAATGGCCAAGTCAGTGGCTGAATATTTTCACAATGAAACCGTTGTTTCAGTGACAGACAGGATTTTGAATTTAACACAACCAGATAACCACTAAGTGAACTTTTCAGGACCAAGCTTATAAGCAGCACAATATGTAGGCTCATACTTTAGCTTTGTTTCACATGAAATCTGTATGTAAATCATCCCAACCCAGCACTGAAGACACATAAAAGGAGTTGAGCTATGTTGTTTTCACAGACACAAAAAAAGAGACAATATAAACTTAGCACAAAACATAAGAAAATCTGTATTTGGTAGATTACTGCTTTATTGTAACAATGCTTCTTGGTGATAAATCTCATACCATTGGAAAGCTTGTTAGTTTCCCTATTAAATGGTGCCACATTTGTAAGGAACATGCATCTGTAGGATGAGCACCAGAGCTGATTATGCAGGCTGCATGCAGGAAGAATTTGAGAAATCTCTGCCAAACAGCTCATTTTGCTGTTGATATTGATACTTGTTTTCTGGTACCCCCAAGTGCTGCCAATCTGGTGCCCAGTATAAGATTTATTACAAAGAAACATTGTTACAATGAAGAAATAATCTACCAAACATTAATTTCCTTACTTTTTGTGCTAACTATAGATAATAAAGAACTAAATGAAAGTAGTAGGGAGTACAAGATGGAGCCACACAGTCCAGAACAGCAGACATCCAGGCAGGGTATAAGGAGAGGCGCATGACAGGGATTATTTATTTAACCTGATAAAAACTGGTCCTGTTACTATCCTAACAGAAGCTTCCCAAAAAGTGCTCACACCAATCACCGAGGCTTTTCCTCTCCTGCTTGAAAAAAAAAGAAGTATTTTGCTCCAGCGACCTGTGTTTTCTGTGGAGCAGATCTGCATCACATAAGGACCTTTTACCCCCACTTTAATCCTGGCCTTAAGCACCATTGTTGAGGATTGGTGACATGTGTGAAAGCGCAAAAGCAGATTTGCAACATTTAAGCTGATCTGCCTCTAATACGGTCATTAGCCCACAACAAATGTAGTCACAGGGCCAAACTGGAGTATGCGTGTATGGAGGAGGAGGCAACAGACGCGGGATGTTGTCGTTGCTGAACATCRTGTATTTTAATGCAATATGTTTGGAAACGGTCTGAACAGCGATTAGTTTTTAAACTATTAAAATGCACAAAGAACAAATTCATTTTTACGGAAGAGGAGGAAATATTTATTTGAAAGCCAGCTGACCTGGATGGATAATTGATCCATGCAAGACTCATAAAAAAAACATCAAACACACACAGTCATGTTTGATTTCTACAAACCATCGAGATAAGATAGAAAACATGAGAACCTCCACATAAGACAGTTTAAATGCAGGGTTTGTGAAATAATTGTGTCGTTTTCTATACTTCACAGTGTACTGTAAATGAGACAGGTTTGACARTTATATTTAAAGTTGAATGAAATCACTCTTGAATGTTCTGATGTGTTGAAACTTTCTCCACAGAGTCAGGAAACCTTTAGTAAAGGTTGAAAGGTAAGAAACTTCCCATCATTATATTGACACTGAKGCTATTTTTRTTTTATTTTTTTAACATCTGAGTGAGAACTTGCGTATAATCGTGTTTTCTGTACAGGAAAAGGCAAAAAGGAAGAGGAAGAAAGAGAAAGGAGAGACAAAAATCAAAAGAATGTAGCAGGTATGAGCACGGTTTGAGGGACAAGCAGTTCACACGTTGTAGGCTGTTATTTAAAATAATTAAAGGCGCAATATTTTCTTTCTTCTTGCAGGTGTCAGATCCCTCGCAGGTAACTTCAGCTGCAGCCCGACCTGTAGCGTGGCTGACTGTTTCCAGTCCAGCAACCGCATAAAGAGTCTCTTCCACTTTATCTGTCAGACCTGTTTGCGACCAGAGACTCGGACGGCTTGGRGCGATCTTTGCTGAACATATAGCTGTCCTGACTGATGGACAAGGTGTTTGTGATGACAAAGTTCAACAGGAAGCRAGTTTTAATTGGTGGAAACACTCTATGTTACACACAAGGAGCGTAACTGGGAGCCAGTGCAATGTAGAAAAGGAACAGACTGATGTTTTCATTTTATTCTTACTGTGTCGGTTATTTGAATTTGTCCATTTCTTTGGTATTTAAAAGAGGTTACATTTGTTAAAACTCTATATTTATTGTTAGAGCTGAATATAGTTGGACCAGCAACCTTCAAAAAGTTTGTTTTGTTTAGTTGAAACATTAGAACACCTTGACTTGTCTTGACTATGTTGGACTGATGGACAGCTGCTTTGTATGCAATAATGAAATGTCTCCCTCTGGTGTTAAACAGGAAGTGTAAAATGCTCATTTTAGGTGGCAAAACTGTAAAAATGGTTTGACTTAAGACAGAGTGGTCGTTCAAATYCAGTCACAACAACAAGATGTTGAAAATCTATAAATTTTCTTTTCTGTTCCGTGGTTTTGCTGCTTTGTGCAGTCTCTCTCTTCCCCATAATCCCACACCACATGACTTCCTCTGTCTGTTTTTGGAAACACTTCAGCATGGATGGGATCAGCTGAGTTCATTATATCAAATGATGTCTATTTCTGTATTCTTATTTTTCATGTATCAAAAAGGAAATCTATATTAAAAAATGTAAAAAGCTTTCCTCCTTGACTGTGCAAGTGTTTTTTAATTTCATTTAAATATTTATTTTGTAATAAACAGTTGTCAGATTATCAGTGTGCAGTGGTTATTTATTTTTTGATAAAAGTTGACTTTTGCAATCACGATCAATATAGTATTCAGATAATACAGTGATAGTTTACATGTCTAAAACAAATCAAATGCCACAGACTGCATACTGATCGAATATTATTATTTTAGAACATATCCAAACAGGAACAAAAGGCAAGTTTGCAGTAAGTTGGGGAGAAATATGTGCCTTATTGCTACAAAAGTTAGGAAATATTAAAGGGTTTGTTGTAAATACCAGTGTAAAAAAGCTTTTTACATGGTTTTGAGGACAGAAACTAAAATACCAACATTTTGAGTAAACTCATAACAATAACATATTGTATTGTAATAAATTATATAATAATATGTTGACAAAGATTTTAAAATTTCTGATTGGATGCATATTTAGTGTTGCAATAACCTTTATCTTATATTCTTAGACTAATTTAAAAGTGACAATATAGATTTTTTTTTACATATTAACTAAAAAATTAACATATTGTTTTATGTGAATTTTTTTGTATTCAGTGACTAATAACAAAAGCTATCTAACCAAATCATTGACTGTCATTAATATTACTTTCATCACTTTTTTATAGCTACTGATCTCATATAATGTTGATATTTGTATTTTACTGTAATAAATGACAACATTTTAAAAAAAAATCACATTTAATTGTATGAATGCCGACATAATAATCAGGTAAAGGCCGCACCACGAGCTATGAAAGGTCAAATAGCGGCCAGTAGTTGTGGATGTTATGTTATTCTAGTGTTTCTTGGCTTGGCTTACCTGGTGTTTCCTTGACAACCGCAGAACCTTGTCATGTTTCAGGAGGATATTATAATCCTCTGTAGAGTCTTACAGGCAAGTTTCAGGCCATGGTACTTATTTAAAACCACTTTATCTGCAAACACAAAGTTAAACTTAGTAACTCTTCTGTGTGTTATAAAGACATTGACGTTAGAAAACGTCAAAGCAAGTCTCTTGTTAGGTTTGCCTGTAAGACTTAGCTGTGGTCAAAATTCCCCGTTACAGATACGAATCTGCAACGAGGCGACGTACTAGCGAGCTGTGATAGATTCGAGGGACCGCGGCTGTAAAACGACAAAACTTGGACGCCACTATTATCGGGATCATCAAGCAAACGACCTAATTGGTAAGGTTTGCAGAAACGGCGACAGTCGCTACATAAGTAGTTAGCAACTGTGCAAAGAGCAGCTCTGTTTTGAACGTGCGGGGCCTTAGCATCACCAAGCTAAGTAAGAGCGCTAACATCGAGGAAGGTGTGGGAGGACATAGAAAAACTGAAATGCTCGTTGCGTTAAACATTTTGTTTCTCTATAGCATAGTTAGTTTGTTTGTTTCCATACAAGTATATTTTGAAAAATGTATGGAACTACTTTTTGTTTGTTGTAAACTTCCTGCTTCCCGCGGCGCCTATCAAATATTTATCATTTACTTCAAATTAGCATACCTCTCTCAATAGTAAAATATTAGCCCTATATTTGCAACTAAACTGGCTTTGGAAGTAAAACAGGTCTGTAAGCAGCAGCTAAAATCTGAGAAATATGCGGACAACTTCTGTAAGGATGCAATGAGCTTATTTAATCATTGCTTAGTGTGGTTATTTTTGATGGACACCCTTAATTGGTGAAATTAAACTATGATTTGTGCACAGTGATACTTCAGAATCCTAGCCCAATAAATAAGAACTAAAGCTGTTAAATCAAATAGTTTAGAAAAACATCTTCAGTGCGATAGAAGTTCATGTTTACACTACAGGCTGTGCAAAGATGGCATACTTTAGGGCTGTGTATTGGCAATAATTTAGCGATACGATACATATCATGACAGAGGGGTCACGATACGATATATCCCGATATATTGCGATACTGTAAGCAAGGTGATATATTGTGATTTTTTTTTCCAAAAATCCTATTAAATAAAAACCTCTTACTGGAAAAAAAATGAAAAACCAAAATTCATTGTCTCAGAAAATTATAATATTACATAGACATATTTTTGATACATTTAGCTGTGTTCTGCTTTGTATGTACTTTACTTTATTTGTTTTATATTTTTTATTTCATCCATGTTTTCAATTATTAGACTAAATTTGACAATAAATAGTTTGAAAATATATTTTTTGCAGCTTTTAGTTTTTAATATTAATTTACAATATGGTCACCCAACACTTAACAATAGCCTCTACCTCAAGAGGTAGAGTAGCCAAATGGTTGGCTCACTGCTGCCAACTAGCCGTTCATTTTAATGTTCAGCCTCTGACCACTAGTAGGCAGCAGTGAGCCAGGCTGAACTACAACATAAAAATGAACAGCTGGCAGGAAAGTTGGCATTTTAAACCTTAATAAAAATCGATACAGGGCTTTCGAATATCGATACAGTATCGGGAAATGAAATATCGCGATATTTCAGTGTATCGATATTTTCTTACACCCCTAGCATACTAGCGAGTCAATTTTTTGAAATGCCCTCTTTGACCATAAGAGGTAGCTTGTCAACACCACAAAGGAACATGGAAGCACTGACTCAAGGATTAAGAGACAGATCTGTTTATATTGTACTCAGATTACATTACAAAGGCTTTGCATTGTTTGACATTCACATCCACTTGTACAGTGCTACTTACTTTATTCAATATGCAGGATTTTTGCTCTGCAGTAACACACTCTGTCTTACCCAAGACACTTTGAAACGTGAAGCGGCTCAGTTTATACTGCCAGCCTTTTAGTAAAAGGACTACCTGAAAATGATCCACCTCATCCAAACCGAGTGTTTATATTCACTTTCTGAGTCCTACCTGGAGTCAGTATTAAATGTCTATCAGCTGAGAGTCTTGTCTTTGACCTCGCTTACCTCAAATTAAATTAAAAGCCGACAGAGTATCACTTGTTCTAGACAAATTCACACAAGCTGGTTGATATTGTTTAACTTTATTTAACTTTTTTTTCCCCCGCAGCTGGTACCAGCATGAATGGCTTCAGTAAACCAAGGGCACATGGGGTGCCACAGTTCACCGGAACATCGCTCCTCAGATTATCCAAACATGACTTGGAACGAGATTCGGGCTTCTCAGGTTTGAAAAAGTCACATTTCATGAAAGTGACTAGCCTCATTGTTTTTGTTGTTGTGTGTTATAGTGAATATAACTAGCTACAGCTCTGTGCAGAATCAAAATTTTATTACTTGCATTCACAGTTTGTGAGTGATTAATTGAACCGTTTGAAGTATGTTTGCAAAAAATATGGTTRTTTCTAAGTGTTGCTGCGAATCCAATTATGCACAAAACGGCAAAGCGTGATTTGCCACCATGAACTTTTGAAATATTTCTGAACGTTACATGTTATATTGACTTGGATTTTTGTTAGCTAGTTTATTGACCTGACCTCTTGAAATAAATATTGCCATAACAATACCATTTGGTAAATAAATAACCTCTGCAGCATTGTTCAAATTCTGCCTGAATGAGGTTGTTTAAAGGTATTGGATAGATGGCATTTTCATGGTGTTATAAATGTTTTTGTAAGGAGTAAAATACTTGATGAATTGATCTCTGGATTTTAGAAACAAGATGTACAAAAACAGGATTGGTTTTTTTTTGTATTAGAAATGTTAAGCAACACAATCCCTATAACATCTGAAATAACAGTAATGTCTGATTTGTGCAGAACTGGTGTCCTAAGAGTAAGTAAATGTAAAAGTGGTGGTAAACAACATATTAAAAAAGGTAAAGATTTTGATCAAGCTAAACGATTTCAGCATCAAAAATTAATTTTACTCTACTACTAGTCTCTCTAATCCAAGTAATGCTGTGTAAGTTTATATACTTTAAAATAATGTGACAAATATTTTGCAGGTATGTAGCCTTCTGTGTTGTTTACTAAATGTTTGTGACACTAGTAACTAAGTCAAGTTTGATTCTTGTCTTCACCTGAAAGTCCATGTGTATAATTAGCTATTATATTATTAGAAATAGCATTTACCCATGCTAGTTCACTAATCAAATCTAGAGATCTAGGTCACATTCTCTATGTAGACTGAGCTTTACAATCGATGACCTTTATTTATATGATGAACGTTGACCTGGATTTGGTTAAATTCTTATTAGGTTGATGGTATCCTCTTCCAGATGCCAGAGATATGTATACACGTGGACATATCTCTTCCAGATGCTAAAGAGAGATATATATGCACACGTGGACATATCTGTTCCAGATGCTAAAGAGATATGTACACACGTGGACAAAATTGTTGGTACCCTTCGTTTAATGAAAGACAACCCCACAATGGTCACAGAAATAACTAGAATCTGACAAAAGTAATAATAAATAAAAATGAACAAGTGAAAGTCAGACACTGCTTTTCAGCCATGCTTCAACAGAATTTTTTTTTCAAAATAAAATTCACTTTCAAGAAAGAGTTGTCTCAGGAGATTAGAAAGAAAATTATAGACAAGCGCATTAAAGGTAAATATAAGACCATCTCCAAGCAGCTTGATGTTCCTGTGACTACAGTTACACATATTATTCACAGAACATGGGCCTTGCAACTGGATAACGACCCAAAAGACAGCTAAAAACACCCAAGAATGGCGAAGAGGAAAACATTGGCCTTCAATGAGCCCTGACCTAAATCCTATTGAGCGTCTTTGGAAGGAGCTGAAACATGCCGTCTGGAAAAGGCAGCCTTCAACCCTGAGACAACTGGAGCAGTTTGCTCATGAGGAGTGGACCAAAATACCTGCTGAGAGGTGCAGAAGTCGCTGACGGTTACAGGAATTGTTTGATTGCAGTGATTGACTCAAAAAGGTTGTGCAACAAAATATTAAGTTAACGGTACCATCATTTCTGTCCAGGCCTGTTTCATGAGTTTTTATTTTTTATTTTTTTATTTTTTTCTGTTGAAGCATGGTTGAAAAGCAATGTCTGACTTCCATTTGTTCATTTTCATAGAATTGTTATTTATTACTTTTATTAGATTCTAGTTATTTCTGTGGCCATTGTGGGGTTTTCTTTCATTCAACGGGGGGGGCCAACAATTTTGTCCACGTGTGTATCTACATCTGCCAGTGTTTAGTAGTTCTAATGTTATGGACACAACAAAAAGATAAATCTGTTTACTTCATGAGACCCATATCTTCTCATTGTCAGATGCCAGCTCTGAGTACCTCAGTGCAGTCGAGGTGACAGACTCTGAAGACACTGGAAGGAATGGGTCAATAATCGGACAGGAAGCTGGTCAGCAGGTGGCTTTAGTGGGAGGTTCGTATTCTGGACTGTCCCCAATGATCATCATGAACAACTTTGTCCTAAAGCAGGTAAAACTGAACTGTAAACTGCATTTTGAACTCTGCACTGCCTTGTTTAAAATTCTATTTATAATATCTATAAACAAGAATCTGAATGTTGTGTGTTGGCTAGAGCCAAGATTTATGGCACAATGAACTTTCTCTGGAGCAGTGTGTAGATAAAAAGGCAGAGCWTATTGTCCAAAGTACAATTTTGAAATCAAACAGTTATTTAGCTTTTTTTAATGGATTGTTTGTTTAGTTATCCATAATCAAAAGGTTTGGCTRAATACACTGGAATTTTGGAAATATTTGGCATTTTTTCAAAGGCTAATGAGATCATGAGAGCATCCAGTTCTGTGGATTCAATTCAAAAATTTACAAACATGAGMACAAGAACTTTACGGTACACAGGTCACCTTGTGATGGGCTCTCTTTTTCACTTTCAGAAAGCGATTCCTAAATGGCGCTTAGCCAAAACCCATCATCCTGTAGATAAATCTACCTATAGATGATGCATTTCTTAGATTATTTGTCTGGCTTTACTGCTTTGAAAACTGAAAATCTTCTGCAGACAGTTGTTTGTTCTTGCTACATGTTTTATGAGTTTGATTAAAACACAGCTGAAGTTCACTTCATGGTTTTAATGCTTTTATGTTTTAAGTACCGGTATACAGTGTTGAAACTTGGCAGTGTCTGGGATGAGCAACAGACATTAGCTGATCATTAGCTTTCTAATCTACCCTGTACCAAATAGAGTTGGGCAAAATTGTATAGTGTGCAATTAACATCAGAAAACTGTCAATAATTGATATTTGCCACTTTGTAATTACTGCAGATAGTATCATGTGATGGTGAATTTATCATCACTATCAGGTGCACGTGTAAGCACAGAAGTGGACGACAGCAGAACAACTAATGCTAACCCTAAACCTATGAATTTGTGTAATCACCTGAATAAACTACATAAACTGGAGCATGAGGAAAGCCAGAAAAGGCAACTCAAGGCCACAACATTGGCCACATGCAAGTGCAATTGTCAGCTATTATTTGGCATATGTGACCCATCATATTGAAATGAGGATGAGGTCAAATTTGGACAAAATGACCTAATCACATTTTCAGATTCCTGGCTTTAAAAGCTACATTTTGATCCTTCTGATATCATCAACTTATCCAGAGATATGACTTAATTTGTCTTGTTGGTTAGGATAATACATCACTGTTTGGTCTGAATCCTAATTTCATGTAAATTTATTGAGTAATTTTTTATGTTAATATAAAGAGGAAACCTCAAATAATATTTGTATATTAAGATTTCCCAGTTGGAAAGAAACAAAAACATTACTAAATCGCAGGAAATTTTTCAAAATGGCGTTTTCCTTGAAATCAGTATTTTTTTTGCTACTGCTCAAAAAAAAAGCTTCAAAAAAATTTTTGGATTGTATTTCAGACAGTTCGTTCAAATGATACATTGATAAAGCATTARTTCATTATAATGTGACAAAATGCAATTTTTGCACACATTTAAATCAAAACCCTATATTTGCCCTTTTTCCACATTCCACTTTTGGACTTAATCCTCGTTTCAATGTGATGGGTCACATATTAATTGTTATCGGCTAAATATCACAGTTAATCCTGATAYATTTTTTTGCCAATATTGCCCAACCCTAGTACCATACACCGCAAAGGAAAGGTAACAATGTGGGACTGAAATCTAAAAAGCAGCCCAGAGATACTAAATGTTTGAGTGCTGTTGGTTTGTATGTTTAGTACCTTCTGCAGCAATATTGCCGCATGACATCAAAGCTCTATCTTCTTTCTAGCCGTCACCCATGACCCCGTCAGAAAAGCAGTGGGGCTTTTCATCCCCCATGGAAGTGATGCCTCAATCACAAGTGGTTCTCCTTCAGCCAATGGTATCAAACGGCAGCAGCAGCTCTTCAAAGACCGAAAGTGTTCGACAGTCAAAAGGCTATATGCCCATTCTCAAGTCGTACCCCAGAATCGCCCCATACCCTGCAGACTCACCCAGTAAGAGGGTGGGATCCTCAAGGGCGATGGAAACACTGGGATGTGACCAGCGTCAGAGGAAACACCATCACAGGCTGGACAGCTCCCCCAGCCCACTGCCTGCACCGCAGACACAAGCTCAGACCATCTCCACCTTTGAAGCAGCAACTAATAAAACACAGGCGGCCGCGAGTCAGGAGCAGCTTCCTGACAAGTCTCTGACCCTAACAGCTGAAAGCAGCTTTCTGCCCGCCTACATGGAGGATTTCAGGACTGAAGCGGACAAATACGAGGACCCCATCTCCATTCACGGTGACAAACTGAAACGCTTCAGCAACACCTACAACATCCTCAGCAAGTCCGGCCTGCTGGGGATCACAATGCGCACAAAGCAGCTGATCAAAGAGAACAAGCGCACCCAGGGCCAGCTGCACGAGCTGCAGGAGCAGACGGCCCTGCTGCTGGATGCTCTGAGCAGTGGGGATCCACAGCTCTGGACTAAACTCCAGCTCTCCCTGCAGGACACAGAAAAGGAACATTCAGGGGCTAAAGCTCAGAGAGTCTAAGGGTAACGCGTTTGTGGACCTGAGCCGGCAGTTTTGAATCTAGATGCAGGAGGATTCATCTGGTCATCTGATACTTTACTGAATGTGGAGCTAAATGTCAGTTAATTTAAGAAAAAAAGATAAAATTTACCCTTTTTATCAGGGTCTGTAGATGTAAATTATGCATTATTTAAGCATATTGCTTGCAACGATGGCGCTGCCTTATTGCACGTACAAATTCCTCGTTCAATAGTGTGATGACAATAAGACCTGCAATAAACAAACATCACATTTTTCTCACTTYTTATGTTCCTTTTGTGAAAACTCACTGCAGTCGAAGTGCATCTGATAGGCCAAATATAACTGACTGGATTGCTCTTGGAAATAAAATAGCCTGCTTTTATTTCGGCTTAAGCAGTTCTTTGTGATACTTGTTTTGCACACGCTGGTGTTTCTGTAAGCGATAAATTTGTAAACTATAAATTATGCACCCCTTTATTCAGGAAGGTCCTGAAGCACAAAACATTCAGAGCTGCTGGTTTGATACGAATCTGAAGCACAGCCGCTGTTATAACGTGAAAGTTTGGAAGCATGCTGATATTTCCAACCATTGCCTATAATGCATTTTATTGCTTCTGCTGTTAGAAAATAGCAGGCATCACTTGCAGCCTAATAATGCACGCCTTACAGTGTGTGAAAAGCCACAGAGATGCATTACGCCTGTCATATTTAACACACCTGTTGACGTTTTTTTCTGGTTTTTATTGTTTTTTGTTTTTGAATTTTTAGTGAACAGATGACGCCTCCAGCAGGAAGTTTTAATACTTGACAGTAGTGACACTGAAAGTAGGCTTGTTTAACTGAGACACTGTGTAAACTATAGACAAACATCATATCAAAAGTTTTAACCAGGAAATATATTTTTTTGTTCAGACCATTTCCTTCAACCAATCTGAAATTTAGCTCAGCACAGAAAATGTGGCAGCCTTTATTTATTTGTATATTTTTACATGATAAAGATTTAACTTGCACATGGATGCAGAGGTAAACACTGATTTTAAAAMAGAAATATCAGGTGGCACCTAATACTAATAAGACCCCTGTGTTTTTCTGTTTTGTGTGTGTGATGTTTAAATTTATTTAAAGTGCTGAGTGCCTCCTCGTTAATATTTCAGACTTAGCCACTTTAGTGACTTATTATTTGAAGCCAGTTATTCTGTGAAATGTCCAATATTTCATTGTTGTTGAGAATTTTACAGCTTCAGCTACGTTTTGTTGCCCTGTTCTCTTCTTTCAAACTTGTTTCTATCATCAAATTATAAATCTACTTTAATTTTTTTAAATAATAATCCAGATTTTGACATGTTTGTAATATTTTAAGCTAATAATTATATTGCTTGTACATTTTATTATTTACACAGCCTCACCAGGTTCAAATAGTTTTATTCTTTAGTGTCAGTATTATTAATTCATCATCGTTTGCAGTCAATAATAATAAGTTGTGAATAATGTTAAACAGTTGATTATAAGAAGCTTGTTTTAATGAGTTTAGGTTTTTTTGTCAGATAACGTGGAAACTACATCTAGAAAATGTAGCAAAGAAGTGCTGTAGCCATTGAATAGACCATTTTGTAGTTTTTTTTTTTTTAAAACGTATAGCGGAACCTTCCGGGTAGCAATCATTGGATATGTACGAAGAACTTTAGCTGGAAATACCATTAGAATTGAGCAAATTTAACAAGCTCAAAAAAACCTTTCTAGCTTAAAGATATTTATGAAAATTCTCATCCAAGATCTTAAAGGAAAGTTCATCACAAATCAGTTTAGTGCAAATACATTGGATCTGTTCACAGTGAAAATTTATAGGTTTTATTGAGCGGCGTTTCAGTGTTTATATCACCAAAAATGTGAGTGCAGCTGTTCAGTGCATTTGTAATGATTTTTAACTACAAATGGTTTATTGTCCTGCCTTTGGATTTGTTGTTGCTCTTATTAGTCCTGCTGTAGTTCAGTGCTTTAAAGAAGTTTTAGGTGAAAAGATGGCGGCTACTTGTTTAGTTTTATATTACTGACCTTTTGCACTTTGTGTTTTGTTTAAATGATGTGAATATGAAATGCTTATCTGGACGCCTGTGCCTTTTATTCATGATTGTACTTTTTATTAACGCTTTTACATCTTCAAATTTTTTGCATTTCTTTACAAATGTCCTGTTGAAAGTCAAAAGTACTGAAGGGTTTCCAAAGAATTCATATTTTTGAAACTTAGATTATTGCTGTAGTAATTTTTTTCTGAGTTCCTTCATAAATATTGTTATAAAGACTTAAAAGGTTAAAATGTTAAGTCTTGTTAAACTCTTGTATTTATGTTCACAACACCACTCTAAAGATATTTATCAGTTCTTTAAAAGTAACGTCGGATAAAATGTGTCTTGGTTTTGAAGGGAGGTAATAAGGTGAAAAGTGTTTTAAAGAAATATTTTGCCTGTTATTGTGAAATGTATGTTTTTTTTCTTTTTGTCTATCAAACTGTTGAAATCCTTTTCTTGTCACTTTTCTAGAAGAATGTCATTATTAAAGATGAAAAGTAGCAGCTTTGTGTCCTTTTTTAAATCTTTTATTGAAACAAAATCAGCTCCAAAAAGTATCCTAGATGCTTAAATCACCTCAGACAGGAAGTCTGATCACGTCTCATCATCAGCAGAATAAATAATACTTMTAGAAGCATAACCTTATGGCACATTGTGAATAATACCCTGGATAATATGATTCATATTTTCTTCCTTTTGTTACAAAGAATAACACAACTGTGTTCTCATTAAAGTATCAGTCGCATCAGTTTGAGTAGAAAATGTCACCAGACTCGACATGAAAAAGCAAACTGTCAAATCTGGCAGTATATAATAATCTAAGAGCGCCACATGGCTGTCAATAATACAAAGCTTTGAAGGCATGCAAAGCTATCTTTTAGACTTAATAAGAAATTATTAACTAGAAAATCAAATGTTCTTCCTGACTCATTAAACCGCTTTGAAAATATGAAAACACTTAATAATATAAATGTATACAGTATTACTATGCACCTATTTTGTCTTGTATGGCTCTTGTCCTAAAAAGGTGTGTCTGTAACAACTATTTATTTTAATAGACAACTTTAAATGAGACACATGCTTTTAAATCCATTTTGCACATTTAAATCATCCAGTTGAGGTCTATATAAATTGTWACTGCAATGATTTGGTCTAAATTCCTCCTTATTGTAACTTYCATCCCTTTTCTGRGGTGTGTCGCAGATCAACTCGTTTTGATGCTGTCTCTTTAARTCCCCTCCAGCTTCCTGAGCGGTTCATYCTAGTTTGATAGTAGAGATATGACTATATAGCGRCGCAGAAACATTTTAGTTACACATTAATTAAAACATGTCGACAACGGAAGACTTGTCCATCCAGCCTTCCATGTTGGAGCCAGAGTCTGACCCAGARCCAGAGGAGAATGAAGACCGTCAAAYTGTRGTTGGTAAGTCCAGACCTTATTYGGCAGTTCTGTCGTAAATAGTGTGATGTAATAGTTCGGAAAAAAGAGAAAACTGAATGAGTTGAAAAATACGACCCAAACAGAATATAAAGATATCTACGCAGCGACTAAATAAAAATTTTCTGCACTTCTAGAGACTCTAAGTACACAACRAAATGTATTTAAAGGCTAAAAACATGGATTTTGCATGATATGTCCCCTTTATCCATGTAGACCTCAAAACCAATCACATGGATTAAAAAAAAACTTTTCTGATGTTTGAGCCTACAGCTTTTGCTTCTTAAACCCGCTCAGTCTTGTTTGTGCGCATCTGTGTCTTCAGAGTAYGTCTCCACTGTCTGCACAGGCAAAACAAGGCCGAGAATCCAGCGGGTGCCAAAAATATCCTTCAGGTTGGCTCTCCAGGGGCTGCGATTCTCCAAAAGCTCTCCCCTCTGCATCTGACACCAGGTCTGTCCCCGGGCCACAAGCAGCACCTGCTGGCAGCAGAAACCTGCGCTCACCAGGCCGATGCCCAGCCACACGTACAGCATCAGCACCAGGAAGAGCTGCAGGCCCGAGATGGTTCCTGTGGAGGAGAGGGGAGGGGAGGAGTTGAGACCGTAGTGCCAGAACGCACGGCGAAAGCTTCGGCTTTTGTTCGGTCAAACTCACCCGTGAAGAAGTAAGCAGTGGAGAGGGGGAGCAGGGTCAGAAAGGTCAGCGGGTTCTCGAAGGAGACTGAGTACTCCACTGTCAGGAAGGCCACGCCCAGAACCAGCGAGTACAGGCACGTGCACGACGTGTAGACACAGAACATGATGAAGTAGCGCATGTTCTTGTTGCCGATGCAGTTCCCCGTGAAGAAACAGTGGTGGTCCCTCTTGAGGATAACCTTCTTGCACAGTTTGCAGAAGTGACGGCCGTTCAGGAGGTAGTGAGCGTCCACTTTGTCCGAGCAGTGGGGCGAGCACACCGGAACCGCCGTCTCGTTGGCACTTTCAGCGGGGTATTTGATGGTCATTACGTAATTCCCCAACGCGTTGAACATCAGGAAAAGGAAGGCGGCCGTGTGGAGGGTCGTGRAACTCCTCAGGGACGTGTCTGGATTGGGGAAGATGGTTGGGATGAAGAGGCGGAAGTAGAGCACGAAGGTGGCGGCCGTGGCCATGAAGAAGTAGGCAGGAGCAACAGTGTTGAGGAGCCGCAGCTTTAACATACGGGTGAACATTTCTGTGTGGGAGGAACACAAATTTACCAATCACAGAACATTTGAAAAGATAMACAAAACACAATATGTGATACGATGTTTTCAAATGAAAAAGGCATCCTTGTTTAAAGTACTTCAAAGAAATACTAAAATATCAGAGTATTAGGGCCACACCACGACATTTTTTAATTATTTTTACGAGATTAAAGTTGTAATATTACGAGAAAAAAATCATAATCTTACAAGTCGTCCATTTTCCGTTCCTCATTTCCTCTTTATTTCCCCCACACCTTCTACCATGTGTCTGTGTTTGTAAAGTAGTCTATGATGACTTGGGTCAATGTTAGTGTAACATGTTTTCATCCAAATTAGCTACGTGATGACTAAATCTGTCAATGCATCCATTAATTACAATATGGCTTCAGTTTATCATATAGTTGTTTGCACAATTTCCAAGTCCTGCTGCTGATAATTTGATGCTAAAAGATTAACTTTTTTAAGCAATACAAAAAAAAAAAACTTGACAAGTTGCTCAACATTCCTCATTTTAATGCAGTGGTAACTGCATGCTTTTTCATGTAAAGGCTTGAATATTATGACTTTTTTTCTCGTAATACTATGACTTCAGTCTCGTAATATTACGACTTTACTTTATGTCGTAATATTATGATTTTATTCTCGTAATTAAAAATAATAATAAAAGAAATCTTGTGTGGCCCTAATAATCCAATGTAGATTTTAAATAAACTCTACAAAAAGTGTATGTTTACATCTGATTTATTTTTGGAGTCAAACAGGTTTAAAATGGCTGCCACAGCTAAACAACACAAAAATGGCTATAATACAGTTTTAAGAGTGATAAAATTTGATCATCACAACAGATACTCTGAGCATGATCTACCATATCTAACTTTATTTACCAGATTTTATTATTATTATTATTATTATTATTATTATTATTATTATTATTATTATTATTATTATTATTATTAATCCCTATATGAGATAGCAAAAATTTGTTATCCAAGTGCACAGTTTGAGTTTTGGTAATTAATAAAAGATCCTAGGGGTAAAAAAAAAAAAATCAATATAAAAACAGTGAACAGAGACAAATCTGCTAATGAGAAGAGCTCCTTTCTGAGCAAATTAGGGTCAGGAGACCCTCAGGGGCCATTAAAGATCCCAAGAATATCTCATCCTTGTTTCAGAGATCTAACCTCAAGCAAACGAGGAAATCAAAGCTCTATTTAAAGCCTCGGACTAAATTTAAAAGTTTAAATCTTTACACATCTGTCCACACACAAACACAGGGAACCCCCACCACCACCGTTTAGGACCAATTATATCGCGCACAACAATACATTTACGCCTGCTTCGTGTTTTCTGGCTTCTAGAGTAAAACTAAACCTGTGATGCTGTCTGTCGTTTTTTTTTTATTTGTTTATTCTTTTTAATTTATCTCCATAGCGATACATCTACCTACCTGCAGATGTGGGAGAGCAGAGGAGCCGTCCCTTCAGCACCACGGAGCCCAGCTGCAGCAGATAAATGTCTTCATGGAGCTCCGGCCAGCTGGGAACTCATTTATCCAGCGCCCCCTGCTGGTCCGGAAGCGTCTGTGTCCCCTGCAAGGAAAAACCACCAGAAGTGCATCATTATGTGGCTTCTTTTGTTATTTAAAAATTCTCCAAGTTAATTTAAAACCACATAAATAAATAGCTTGGCTTATTGGATTTTGTTTGGAAATATTGAATTAGTTTATTGTTTGGTCTATTTAAAGTTTCTTAGCAAGGCTTTGGTTTAAGACCCGTCTTGTGTTATTGTCCTTTTATTTGTCACATTTAAATCATTCATTTGGGTCTATATAAAGTGGAACTGCAATGCTTTGGTCTGAATTCCTCCTTATTGTAACTCCACAAGCCCCTGTTTCAACCCTTTTTCTGAGGTATGTCTCAGATCAACTCATTTTGAGGCTGTCTCTTTAAATCCATAAGAGTTGTTTCACACCCCACCTCCCAGACGGGTCTATTGTAGATTGATAGAGGGRTTTACAACTATATTAACAGCAAAGAAAAACAGAAAACTTGTCCATCCAGCCTTACATTGGAGGCAGAGTCTGAACCAGAGAAGAATGAAGACAATGAAATTTTAGTTGGCAAGTCCAGACCTTATTTGCAAAAACTGATGTAACGGTTGTTTGTTAACTTGTTTTTATTTTATTGTGTGTGTGTGTGTGTGTGTGTGT